CCCGTCCCGGGCCCCGGCCCTGGCCCTGGCCCCGCCCCCTCTCTTTGCTGAGTTGGCATAAACCGCAGCATTTCATTCAACCAGGATCTGAGCTTTGTTACATTCTTAAACCTCATAATTATTGTATATAAACAGTCGGATTCTGTGATTGTCCCGGGAAAACACAACGTGCTACCTTTCCTCTCCCGTCTCCCCCCCTAGCCCCGCCCCTCCGCTCCCTCACCCTTTTACCCAGTGTTTCTCTCCACTCTGTGTCACTGTCAGTGTGTGCACTGGAGCCCAGGCAGGGATGTTGATGTTGGGCCAAAGGAAAGCACCTACCACACACACACACACACACACACACACACACACACAGAGTGAGGGTGGTAATCCAACTTTCTCTCAACCATGTGGAAACCATTGCTGTGTAATCTGTGGTAATTGTGTTGTATTTGAGAGAGAGCTGGTGTACATTACCTACTTCATTACCAGTGTGTGTGGGTGTGTGTGTGTTTGTACACTGCTGCAGACACCAGGGGAGAAAAGGATACAGAGGGGGGGAGGACAGGGGAGGAGAGGGGAGGGGAGGGGAGCATTTTCAGTTCAAGTCCCTGTTGTACCTCAGTGTCCTCTGGTCCTTATCAATATAAATTTTTTTTTTTTTTTTTTTTTTAGTCCACTTTATGAACAGACTGAAGTTCGATCTCGAAGATGACGTTGAGCCAAACACCTGCTTTACCCTCGCTGGTCTGAGATCAGCCCTGATGAGTGGTCAAGCTGCCAGAGCAGCTGTGATGGATGGACTGGAGCTCCTGGCTGTGAACTCACAGTAAGAGAGAGAGAGAGAGGATGAGAGAGGATGAGAGAGAGTGATGGAGATGGGACGACCAACTGAGAGGCAGAAAGTTTTTTTATGAAGTACGAAGATCACTGAGGTTGAGGATGAAAATGATGGATAAAAACACAAAGTTTTCCCTTCAAAATTATATGGCTGCACTTAGTTTCTTATCTAAAATAAAATAGTAGGACAGCCTGTTCTTATGAAATGTAACAAAGAAATAATAATAATATTTATTTTTTTAAAAAAAGGGAAACGTAACGAAATGTTCGACAAACATTTTAGGCTAGGAAATAAAATTAAAAATTAAATAATCAAAGTTTTATTGATGTATTCAAGATAAAATTAACATTTCATCTTGAATACATCAATAAACATTAGCATAGACAAAGCTAGCATAGCTAACGCTAGCCAAAAAAAAAAAATTAGTTAGATAAACTAAGATAAAAAGACTACAGTATCATAAAAAGTTCATCTTTAGCCCAAATAAATTACCAACCGTTACCATGGAAACAACACCGTTTAGTTATAAAAAAATACTGATAGCATATAGTCTAGGTGTATTTTTATCCGACTGTCCAACGGCTAGTGGATGTTGCCTCCAGGTTTATTTAACATGTGCAAAAACAAACAAGACGGTGTTTGTTGCTGTGCAGCGGAACACGAGACACAACTGAGCCGTGACTTCTCCAGCAGGAAGTCAGAGAAACACTAAACGCTGCTTCCTGTCTGTAGTTTCAGGTTCTCGCTCCAGGCTACGGGGGCAGAGAAGTGAACTTTTCCTAACGTGAAGTGATTGTTTTCATATCTGCACAACACGGCGTTTGTTTGGATAAAGTCGTGGAGGTCACGGTGCAGGGTTTGACTTCGGTTCCGTGATGTAAATATTCATCTTTCATTAACATGAAAGCTGCAAACTGCCTCGTTAGGGCTTTTAAAAAAATAAGATGTAAATCAGTGCTGGGAAGTGATGACGGCCTCGACCTCACGCCAACACAGGCGCAGCGCTAACGTTAGCAGCTAACTCCAAAGTTCATTATTTATTTATACGTCTTTGGTAGCCTCTCATGTCACGACCCAGAGCTGACAAACGCTTTTTCTATTGACGTTTACACGTTTTTTACATCAACAACAATAACGTAAATTATTTCATCTGTTTAATCTGGGAAGAAACTGATTTTTATGTGTTTTTTTTTTTTTTTTTTTTTTATTATTTTTTTTTTTTTTTTTTTTTTTTTTAATTATCTATCCATCGTTGTCCGCTTATCTGGGGCTGGGTCACAGGGCTAACGGTAATTTATATATTTATACATATATATATCTGTATATAATGATATATATATATATATATATCAAGGTCAACTGGACGGAGGAGTTTTCTTGAAGTCGTCGTCCAGTTGCCCTGGATGTAACTATTTTTGGATTTTTATTTATTATTATTTATTCATTTATAGATTCTAATTTCTCATCCGTCCAGTGAACGTTGTTCATTGTTGTTCATTTTTGTCGTTTTGTCAGCATTATGACATGTCATGGATATAGTGTGTGTGTGTGTGTGTGTGTGGTTCTCCTAGTTTAAATGTTTACATGCCTCTGGAAGGTTCTGAAATGTGATCTGCTGAGGAGCCGGTCCCCGCAGAGACAGAAACACAAACACAAACACACACAGTTGTTTTATTTTTTTCATTTTTTCCAAACACTCAGGTCGGTGTAGATGTGTTAGTTAGGGTTGGTTAAATCAGTTACCGTTTTTTTGGGGGGGTTTCTGCATCCAATTCGACTCTCTCTCCTTCCCTCTCTCCCTCTCCCTCGCTCTCTCTCTCTCTCTCTCACACACAGATATGAACTCAGACCAATAATGAATCAGACCTGGGATCAGTCGACTTGACCTCACATAAAACAAATTCTGTTGAGCTGCAGTGGCACCACTTGATCCTGGGACGACCACACACACACACACACATACACACATACACAGTTAGGAGGAGAGGGCTGTGTGGGGGGGGGCAGTGGGGGGGGCACAGCTGTTCTGTTTGACAAGTAATGAAACAGTCCTCAAAGACAGGATTGTCTGAGCTGCCTCCTTAGACTTTGATCTCACG